GTTCAGGTGTATATCAGTATGTAGTATCTCTACTTTAAAGAGTCCTCTCCTGCTGATGTTCAGGTTCATATCAGTATGTAGTGTCTCTACTTTAAAGAGTCCTCTCCTGCTGATGTTCAGGTGTATATCAGTATGTAGTGTCTCTACTTTAAAGAGTCCTCTCCTGCTGATGTTCAGGTGTATATCAGTATGTAGTGTCTCTACTTTAAAGAGTCCTCTCCTGCTGATGTTCAGGTGTAAATCAGTATGTAATGTCTCTACTTTAAAGAGTCCTCTCCTGCTGATGTTCAGGTGTATATCAGTATGTAATGTCTCTACTTTAAAGAGTCCTCTCCTGCTGATGTTCAGGTGTATATCAGTATGTAGTATCTCTACTTTAAAGAGTCCTCTCCTGCTGATGTTCAGGTTCATATCAGTATGTAGTGTCTCTACTTTAAAGAGTCCTCTCCTGCTGATATTCAGGTGTATATCAGTATGTAGTGTCTCTACTTTAAAGAGTCCTCTCCTGCTGATGTTCAGCTGTATATCAGTATGTAGTGTCTCTACTTTAAAGAGTCCTCTCCTGCTGATGTTCAGGTGTATATCAGTATGTAGTGTCTCTACTTTAAAGAGTCCTCTCCTGCTGATGCTCAGGTGTATATCAGTATGTAATGTCTCTACATGTCTCCATGCTTTAATGTTCAAAAAGCTCTTCATTGTTCTCATACTGCCTGTGCTACAGCACCTCTTTTCACCCTCTGTCTGAAACCAGAGCCCAGTCTGCTCTGATTGGTTAGCTGGCCGGCTCTGTTGTGATTGGTCAACCGCTTATCAATCAATCAATCAATCAATGTTTATTTATATAGCCCAATATCACAAATGTTACATTTGTCTCAGTGGACTTCACAGTGTGTACAGAATATCAGTATGACAATACGACACCCTCTGTCCTTAGACCCTCACATCGTACAAGGAAACACTTCCGGAGAAAACCCACAGTTTAAAGGGAAAAATGGGAGAAACCTCAGGGAGAGCAACAGAGGAGGGATCCCTCTCCCAGGACGGACAGACGTGCAATAGATGCCGTGTGTAAATTGAAAAAATAATACATTTGCAACATAGGTAGTCCAAATGTTTGGAAATGCATGTGTGTATAATAAGAAGATGAATCCACGAGGATATCCACCCAGGACCTATGATCCAGGACCACAGCCACGACTCAAGATCCAGGGCTTGCGATGCAGGACACAGGACCGCAGGATCATCCATGACTCCGGATCCCGGCGTATATAGACACCAAAAAGAAAGACATTTGGGGAAGCTGGGTTAATCGGAACATGAGAGTACACAGGTACAGACAGAGAGAAGGAAGAAGTAAGATGTCCCCCGACAAACTAAGCCTATATCAGCAAAACTAGGGGCTGAATCTAATCAGCCCTAACTATAAGCTTTATCAAAAAAGGTCTTAAGCGCACTCTTAAAAACGGATAGGCTTAGAGATGTCCCGCCCCTTAGCCTATCACGTACAATGTGTTGGAGCCACAGTCTATGGTTGGAGCGCGAGCCAATAGAAGCACGAGTGTTACATAGGAAGGTAACTTTGGGATTGTAGCCTTTGCAGACCATTTACATACAAAACCTATATAACACTCTACAGGAAAGGGAAAATAACCAATAAAAGAATAATAGGGCCTCTTTAATTCTAGAAAGGATTCTTAGGAAACATCCAAACCTGGATTAGTGTCAGTTCAGGTCACGCTGTGGCTCTAACTCTACTGAGAAACTGTGAGGCGATCAAAGCAATCTGAGCCGATCTGTGAAACGATGTGAGTGAGGGTGAGAAGTTGGCAGCTATCACAGAGGAATCTGTCCGAGTGAATCTGTCACGCAGCGCCTCACATCATGAGCAAGGCAGGGGGGCACCTTAAGGATAAAAACCTGAGTTGGCTCCATTGGGACAGCACACAAACACAGATTTGTGATACTCCCTATCATGGATTGGAGATGTTTGGTGCTTTCAAGAAGTAAAATGACTTATTTTGTTCGGTCAATGTCAGATTTGTAAACCATGATGTCTTATTTTACATGTACTGTAATAAACACTCAGTATAAAACAAACAAAATTGAATAAAAATGTAAAATATTTTGTAAGAAATGCCCAGTCTAAACAAAAGAGCAAGAGAAAAATGTGGTTTATTTAAATACAAATTGACACCTTGAGGTAACTGAACTGCAGGGGCGGACTGGCCATCGGGACGTTTGGCACGAATCCCGATGGGCCGGTACTGAAGTGGGCCGGTCGGACGATGTGGGCCGGTTGGATAAGTCACTAGCACCCCCCCCCCCCTTGTGGGCCGGTCGAGAGTCCCGGGTTGATTTGTAGTCCCAGCTGAACTGTATATCCAAATCTTAACAGAGATGGTTGATAAAATGCCATTTACATCTAAACAATTAAACATATTTTAAACAAGGACTTACAGATATGTACATATTTCTTATAGTTTTTCATATTATTATTGTGATTTTTCTATATTAGATGTATGCGCTTGACCTGTTTTTATGTATGTATTGTATGCACTTGACACAAATGCAATTCCTTGTAAGTATAACAGCTTGGCAATAAACCTTATTCCAATTGTGTCAATACAAACACAGGTTTTTAAGTAAGAATAATAGGATTTCCCATGCCCAACATGCCTCTAGTTTTCTGTTTATTTCGATGAGTTTGGGATACATTTTGCAATAGCAAGAAGACAGAAAACAAACACTACATATTTACATTCTTCATGGAGTCTCTGTGTTTGTTTCTCTTTCAGCTTCTTTTCAGAACATCCACTGAACTGTCGACAACCTGGAGAGTAATGGATTACATGTAACGGGATTATCAGGATACAAATGAAAAGGTAACCCTTACAGTTAGCAGATTACTGGCAGGATTACAATGTAGGAACACATTTTAAAGTAAATACAGATATGTTATAGGTAGACTAGACGTACTGCATTCATTGTTTATTTTATTGACCTGATTTATTAACAACTGTGTGTGTTTCCTTTTAATTCAAACCAGCATTTGTTGAGACATTTTTTATCCTAAATATCTTGGTTTCTTCTTTTCTGAGGTCACATTGTTCTGTTCTCTTACATAAAAATACACTTCAATAAAAACATCTTATTGATATTTCTGTTGTCTTGTGTTTAATGGCACTGCATTTGACATTGAGGTGATCCAAAAGTAGCGGAAAGTAATCAGGTTACATTACTTTTATATGAATAAATATATATTTAAATATTTTAAAAGCAACCCTCCCAACTCTGCTCTCGAGATAAATCTAGCGTTCACAGACAGGATCAGGTGTGTGTGTGTGTGTGTGCGTGTGTGTGTGTGTGTGTGTGTGTGTGTGTGTGTGTGTGTGTGTGTGTGTGTATGTGTGACCTAAATCTGTTTACACAGTCACGTGACACATACTGGAGGTCACCTGAGGGGAATCATTCATTTTAGGGTGAAGACTTGGTTAGGGTTAGGCATGTGTTGGTTCTGGTTAAGGTTAGGATAAGTCTCCAGGAAATGCATGTAAGTCAATGTAATGTCCCCTGAAGTGATGTATACATGGTATGTGTGTGTGTGTGTGTGTGTGTATGTGTGTGTGTGTGTGTGTGTGTGTATGTGTGTGTGTGTGTGTGTGTGTGTGTGTGTGTGTGTGTGTGTATGTGAATGTGTATATGTGTATATGTGTGTGTGTATTTGCAAAGGCACAAAAGAGCTCTTTGTCGTACCACGGCACAACAGGTGAATGACAGATTCACCTGTCCAACTGTGGGACTGCCGACTTGGTGTGTGTCGCTGCGGCATCAATCAATTGAGTTTGAAAGGAGGCAGGGAGGTTGGACTCTAATGAGACAAGATGCATTTGCATACTTCTGACTCACCGAACGCTTCTTCGTGTTCAGATCTGTTGTAACAAGTTTTATTACACACAAAAACGTGACAGAGACTTGCAAACTACTTCTAAACTGTGTAAATGTATTTACTTATACCTGAGGATTCATAACAGTGTGTTACCTACGAGGTCAGGTGACAGTAAACTGTGAGAAGGAAGAGTATAAACAATGCTTCTCAAACTGCAGTAGGTGTGACTTTACAAAACGTCGTGGGGATTCTGAGAATATTCCTGCGTTTCCTTCTATCGTTCTGACACACTGGGCTGAGGGCTGTGATAAGAGATAAGAGAAGGGTTGTGTCCGGATGTCAAACTACTGACGAAATTCATGAAAAGTGGGCTGTTTACCCTAGAAAGTGCATGGGGGACTTTGATAGTGAAAAACACTTTATGCTGAATAATAATAAGAAATATAATTACAATAACCTTAGCATTCTGAGTTTGTAGCCATTATCTTGCAGGGACTTTACAAGTGACCTTGTGTGTATTTTATGGTATTTACACACAATTTCTTTTATTGTAATATTTTTATTTTTATTTGTTTTAATTATTCTATTTTTACTTTTTTGTGTTTTTAATATTTTTTTGGTTTGATTGTTTATATCTTATTTTTAAATATATTCTATTATTATTATCATTATCATTATTATTATTATTATTGTATTATTTTATTTTGCTAATGAGACGTATAATATATTGCTACTTTGAATAGAATAAACTTTATTGTCCGGCCGAGGCAAAACAATTATCCTTCTTAATAGTGAATTTACTTCATAATCTGTATATTTCTCTTTATTTCTCAACACTTATTAGTCGTAAACTTTACTTAATTCCCAGTATAAGCAGCTTTTACAACACCAGGTACATTTGTTCTTTATATCTCTTAATAGCATCTATCAAAAATATAGCCTATTAAAGGAACTCCAGTTCTTAGAGCCCTTATTTTCTGGAAGTACTTTTATTTGCCAATGCATGTTCTGTTGAGCAGTGTATATATGATGTTGAGAGTGAGCACCTTGCCTGTTGAACTCCTCCCACTCACTATTTAAACCCACAATGTCAGCACGCGCGCAGATTCAGTCTGCGTACTTGATCTTGACCAACACGCGTGTAAAACATTGAAAATTAACCCAATATCTGAAATACAACTACCAACAAGGTAAGACCTATATCTTTATTTAGTTATGTGAAGGTTTATTCATTCATTACAAAAGTATTAGCATCATGGATTTTTAACATTTTCATAAGAATGTATTTAACGGGGGTTATAACAAATATATAATTCCCTTTTTTTGGTGTGTTTTAAAATGAAATATCCATTCATTTCTGCTATATTCAACATCTTAATTGACTTTTTATTATAACTTCTGCTTTTTCCAAAGGTTTCATCTAATATCCTGACACATTTGGATATCTGAGACACACTCTTGGGAACATATTTCTTTTTTTTCCTTACTTTTTTCCCTGTTTTGGGATTAAACCTCACTCAGTGCCTGCAGTCGCCCCCTCCGCAGAGAGGGAGTAACTGCTCCACTTTTGGCCGGAGATGGAGCCCCTTATCCGGCTTGCTGTGTATTGCATCAGCCTGCTTTCCCTCCAACAGCTGCTGGCTCTATCGGCGGAAGAAAGTCCCGACAGCAACAGGTAGGAAGATCCATGATAAACGCACCTGGAGCCGCATTACTCCATTAATGTACATCATTTGCTCCATGCGCAATTGGAAGGCATTACTTTGCCACTTTGACCGGCTTGTTTGGCGTTCAACGTGCAGAGTTATTCCCATTTGTCAATTTAAATTAGCTACAAAGGCGGTTTAAGGTTTCGCATTTAAGCCAATAGATAATTTTTCATAAATTTTAAACATGACTCAGCATTCCTAAATCTCACCTTTCCGTATTTAAATGTATTTTTGTTCATTTTATTCAGAAAGTTAACGCATTTAAGCTGACAGGTAGGAGCAGGACACCCCGTTGTATTCATGCTCTTCCCATGTATAAACATACCTGGAGCCTCATTACTCCATTAATTACTACCTATTATCTGCAATTAAAAAGGTACTACTTTGCCATTTTACCTGCTTGTTTGGCTTTTAAAGCGCATGGTTATTTCCATTTTTCAGTAGTCATTGTGCGGATTGGTCCATTTCAGAATAATATATATGATTTGTTTTATAATGATTGATCTTTAAAGTGTTCTCAAAGCTGGTGAAGGTGCAGCTAGTTTGAATGACTTTGTATACTGCAGGGTAGCTTGTGGATTTACTCCAGGTGGAACTAAAGTCTGATTTAACACTTGATTATATTTCACATCATTCATCCACATCTGTGAAGTAACTAAAGGGATTAAATACATGTAGTGGAGTAGAAGTACAGAGTAGCACAACATGGAAATACTTAAGTAACATTTAAGTACCTCAAAATGTAAGTATCATCCATCTAAATTATGCGATTGTGTATTCAATTGTGTTTTTTTTTTAATGACATTAGCCTGTAAATATGCCACGTCATTAAGCGACAAAGTTTTTGCAATTCAAGCCAACAGATCATTTTTCACCCGTTTAAAGCATGACTGCATTTCTAAATCTTTTTTTCTTGTTTTAATATTTTTGTTAACTTTATCTATTAAGTCAACGCAGCTGAAGGCAGAGTTGAGCAATGAAATCAAAGCAGGCTACTGTGTGTAAAAGTGAAAGTGATGTTGTGTCGGGCAGATAATGGATACAACTGCAAGGTCAAAGGCTCTCATGATACAGTGGGGGAAAAATCTCCCTCCTTGATAAACTCTGCTGGATCAGCTGCTGCGTGACAGTCTCAGGCATATTCAAATAAACCAAATAAATCTATTTTATTCTATACAATATAACTTGTTTTCAGTTTCAGTTCACAGTGACCTTTTTATTGTTTCCAATCGGACCCCACTTTTCACATTAGTCGAGCACAAATTAGGTTAAAGTTGAGAGCAAGTGATCATGAGGTTGTGCAAGATTACATCTATTGTACATCATGTGAGCCATATTTGACAACAAAAGTCATTTATAAGCATCACTTTCGATTCCATCAACGATCACACGAGTTTATAAAGGGGTTTGTTTGGGTTCATCTCCCTGTGATTCTGTTTTATTATTTCCAAAGTGGAACAACCAGTTTCTCCCGCAATTAGTAAATCCCAGCATTGTGAGAAGGACCTTTGTAAAGGATCCCGTGACTTTCACCTGTACTTTTCCACTCTGTAAGTGGCGGTCTGACACACGCAGTGAGTACAGTCTACCTGGTTTAATGAGTGAGGAAAGCCACGATGCAACACGCCTGAGTATCTTTGCTTTGATTAATGTGGAAGAGCTGGTGTTTGAATGCCCTCTTCTGGTGGAGTTTGGATCTACAGATGCTTGTGTTTGCACGAGGAAGAAATGAGGGCCAAGTTATGTGGGGGCCCTAAAGAAAAAGGCAAGGAGGCCCCTGAAAACTACCCTGGTCAGTGTTTTCCATAGGTTTACTGCTTTGGGGGGGTGCTGCCTGAGCGGGGGGGGGGGGGGGGGGGGGGGGGGGGGATTATTGTTATTGATTGATGCATCTGTTTCTTAGGGTCAAAAACACTAAACTCACAACTTAAAATGAAAGCGTTTAGTTTATTTAATAAAATATATATATACATTTTTTTTAATTTAAAAAATAATAATTATAATTTTTTTCCGATTATTTTCATTATTTATTTTCTATATTAGTCTATACACTTTAAAACAATACAGAGTCCAAGTTGATGTCTTTACACGTCTTGTTTTGTCAGTCCAGAAAAAGCACGACACCTCCATATTTGAAGTCAAAACAGCTGACATTTCTGCGTAAAAAAATGTACTTTAACGTTAAATCTATCATCAAAATAGTTGCCGATTATTGTTCGACTTGTCAATGCAGCTCTAGCTGACAAATCAGGAATGATGCAGCAGTGCTATTATTTGAAGACAGCTGTGATTTTTTCAGTGTTTTTTTATTAGATTATATCGGGTATTTTCCATCGACAGTTAGTGTAGAGAGAGACACGAGGAACAAAGATCCCCAGCTGCAGTTTTGTAGTATGGACTTTTACCATGAGACTAGCAGAGCGCTGATGTGGTGGTGCTGGTTAAATCAGTTACAAAGGTAATTGATATGATCCAACAGTTGTGAAGAAAAGCTTTTAAAGAAATGTTATACTGATTATACAACAGTGTAAGAAGATCTCGGTGTGATATTTTCCTTCAGGTCGCCATCTGTTGCTCTTGTTTGTGTTATTGAATACCTGCTTCTGAATCCCACCGAGATAAAGGGAAGTGTATTTGCTGGTTGTGTTGCTCTGTCCTCCACTTCCGTTCTGTCTGAATCTGTCATTACCGGCATGGGTCATCATTACTGAGGTTTTATATCTCTCAGTCTGGGAGAAAATGTTCAGAAGTTGTATGTAATATAAATAGATTGCTTCATATCTCAACAGGACATTAAGTAACGTCCTAGTAAAAACTAAAAAGATGCACCACATGGACTTAAAGCAGCCTCAGGATGCTTAAAGCTTATCTAAACCTTGACAAAGCAGCAACAAATCACCAATACAACAACAAGATCAATCACTGGCTTCACAATGGTGGTCCAAATCAATGCAATGTTAGTCCTTCCTTTAGATCAGACTTCATGTGGATCGATAATTCCCATTCGGACTTAAAATAATGTGCCTGAAGCTGACTGCCAACCCCCGTGTTGTTGAGCATGGTGTCATTCTTAAAAGGCCTTAACAGTGTCACAGTATATTCAAATATATTTCCCTCTAACAGCAATGTGAGAGGTTTCCCTCCGTCCGTAAATTCTCCCGCTTCACCAGCATCCACATATCTCTCTCCTTGTTTATTGTTTTTCCATAAATGTCTCGTGTGGATTTTATGAGGACATTAAATTCCATCGACAGCACATCCTGTTCTGTTCCAGAAAACATGTCGACAGCATGATAATAACAAAACATGACTAGTTAAAATGTCTTCCTCCTGCTGGACACGGACAATGTCTGAGCTCAGATGTCTTTCATGCTTTCCCTGTTTTGTCTTTGAGGCCATGCGATGCCTTTGTGTCCCGATAAGGACACGACAAAATCCCATCAAGATGCTGCGATAACGCGCTGTCCAAACAAGGAGAAATCGCATGTTCCTTGGATCACACGCAACACATACCCTTCATTGTCACTTTATGTGGGGCATTCTTTTGTCATGGAACATTTCTGCAGCATAACGAAACTCCATAAGTGGAAAGGCCGCTCATTGCGTCCAGACTTAAGACTTATAAAGCTGATTTGCGGCAAAGATCCGTCTGAAACTGGGCATGATACATGACTGTTAAAGCAAAACCTTTATACTTGGTTTTGCAAAATGTAGGGTTCAACTCTTCGCATAATATTTACCTGAAAAATAGACTGAATTCAACAAGCTGGCTTCCTGCTTTGTTGTGACAGGTGGCTTTTTGGTCCATCCTCTTAATCTCTATTCTGACATGTTGACACCTTATCAATGAACAACAAGTACATCACTATCTCTTTATTGTGAGTTCAGTCTCAGAAAAATATGCTTGCAGAATGATTGAAACCAGGACTAGCTCTGCTGACAATCAGAGGCCTCTTCTTGCATGTCTTGTAAAACAGGACTTTTGGCTTGGAAATATATGTGTGGAATAAACAGTTGTGTGGCTTCATGGAGGTAAATCCGACCGAACACACGCTGAGGTTGAGGAGAGTGAAAGCCGGCAAAGAATTCCACCTTGGATTAAGAGCTAAATCCACCTTTAAAGAGCAGTTTCCTTCACATGGAAAGACACACCATTGTGGAGGCATGCACATGTATATTATATAAGCTTGTAGTGGGATTGTGCATCAAAAGATTCAAGAAGCAAATGGGGCCTCTGAGAAAAGAGGAACCATACTGTCCACTGATATCAGAGCAGACATATCATTTTTGTATAACCCGGCATCTGGGTCTTTTACTGGCTTTACTAACTATTCAATGTCCGGTTTGGCTTGCATTAAGTTAATCACATACAATTTAAGAGGTTATGAAAGCAGGACTGCTCCCAAACAAGTAAGAAAAGTGTTTTGTTTGTAATAAACACCAACAACAATCCCACTATTGTTTCCTGTTTAGAGATTACTAATGAATGTACCTTATGTACTGCTGATTAAGCTCAGCCTCTACGGTACTAGGGTTAGGGTTCAGAAGGTCTTTTCCCAATGGTTGTTGTTATTGGACGGTAGAATCACTTTGGAAACAATTCCCTTTACACCTTTTTAGCATTGGGATTAGGGGGCTGTTACTGAAATTTGAGGACATTCACGAGATGTCATGCCCACTTAAATCGATGTTTGGCCATCCAACCTTTGCAAATTGTCATTCCTAACGCTTCACATACGAACACTTTGTCAGGACTCTTTGGCTTTACTGTCTGATGCATTTGGATTCAAACCATGGCGCTCCATAACCCTAACCCTAACCCTAACCCTAACCCCAAACCTACCCTTACAATAACACTTGGTCAGGTTCAGGATAAAAATGTTGGTTGGGGAAAAGTCCTGTGTTTGTTTGTCCCATTCCTTCTTAGACTTTTGACTATCAGCACTTGCTCCTAGCGCCTATGAAACGTTGCTATTTGATGATAGGCTGCCTTCAAGAAGTGCCGCAAGAAACAGTTTTGACATGTCCGACAGATGCTTGTAACACGTCGTAACAAACCATTAATTTCCAGCTAAACCCATTCTTAAGGTTTAGGGAGAGTCCACCCTCTGAAAGGAAGGGCATGGCAGATGATGCAAGCAACGCTTTAAGGTAAAACAGAACAAGAACCAAACAAGGCAGCACACTGGGATCGGTTTGGCCTAATATAAAATTGCACAATTATTAGCAATCATCTGGAATAGAAAAGTAAGTTCTGTTTGAAGCACTTAAGCTAAGACCTTGCAAGTCATGGAGATAACTACAGCTGGTTGAACAACTAACGACAAAGCAGCTTGAATATCTTTGGTTGTCTGCCAATCACAGAGATCTCCATTGCTCATGGAGATGTGGGACTTGGCTGCTTAAAGCCAAATTAACTTGTCTTGTGAGATTAAATGTGACAGCGTGAAAGAGTTCTCTACTGCAAGAGTTTCTGGAAGAAAAGAGTATAGTCTTTGAGAGGATAAAACTGGAGCTAGACAAACTACATGCAGGCGTCAACATGAAATATGAAACTAAAAGAGAATTAGAGTTAAGAAATGGTAGGGTAGTACTTCTAGCACAGTGGTTCCCAACCTTTTTTCCCAAGAGCCCCCCCAAATGACTCCTGTTGGAAGTTGCGCCCCCCCCCCCCACACACACACAAGGGGGGGGGGGGGGGCATTAAAGTTTAAAAGTCTCTAAATGCTACAACTACTGTCATAACTGGATGAATGTGAAGTATTTTGTTAAAGGAGGATGAAAGCGTAAATTAAGGAGCACTATTGGAGTGACTTTGATGGTTATTGGACTCAGGATTAATTCATTTGGATTCCCGCTGTATGAAGAAATGAAAGGACGGCACAAGTGGAAACAATTCACAAAGGGATTAAACTGTTTAAAACACATGCTCAAAGTAAGCCGGATTTTGCCGATGTGTTTATGTGGATTCAAAAGTCGTAAATAATCTACAAAATGGAGCAACTGTGACAAATAATCCAACTGAAACCGGCATGGACAATGACTATGTTTTTAAAATGCGCTTATCCAGACAAGCCTGGTTTGGACACTTTACGAGCAGAAGAAACATTTCTATTAAAGAAAGAATTATACATTTCTGTCTTTTTATGCCTTTAATACTAACTTGAATTTTTATTAAAATGAATTAGTCAATTATTTTTTATATTTTATTGTAATATAGAGACAAGGCTTTTAGTGACAATCAAGTATTGCCTTACAATTATATGTTAAAAAAGCGCCCCAGGCTGGGAACCACTGTTCTAGCAGATACTCTAGAGGTGAAAGCATGGTTGTCATTGACAAGGGACAGATTTTCTAGTGTTTACTGCCAAAGCTGGATTGCCAAGTGATCCATCCATCCATCCATCTTCTCCCGTTTATCCGATCCGGATTGCCAAGTGATCCAAACTCTCATAATCCATGGGGCCCAAAGGCTCCAGGTGTAGTGTGTGCTCATTTATTTCATTTCACAAATGATTAAGGGAAGGCAAGGCAAGTTTATTTATATAGCACCTTTCAACAAAGTGCTTTACAAAAATGATATGGCTTTACAAAAATGATATGTACCACCTGAGCACTACGTACCATTACCTGAGCACTTTATAAACCAGAGGTGGAAGAAGTAGTCAGGTCCTTTTCTGTTTTGGTGGGATTTTGTAAACCAGTGCTCTCTTGTGAAAATAGCTTTCCTGTACAGTCGAATACGGCTCTCTCTCTCTGCAGATGGGTGTGACTTGGTGATGTGGCATTATGGCACACCAAGTCTGCCCTTGAAATAGTGCTCGCCTCCGTCTGTGGCATTACGCAACTATTTATTCAGCCACTGACAGTGTTGCACAGCTGGTCCTCTCCAGACTTAATGCTGTTAGCTTCACATTTCACACAGGGATCCCAAAGCAACCACCGCACTGAGACATCAACCTCCAACCAGAAAGGATGAGTTCATGGTGAAATAATAAACATTCAGCACTTCACACAGACTTTTTATAATTCGATTATGCTTCTGGAAAATATTGAGAAACCTGATGCAGTTTTTCCTTTCAAAGCAACAGCAGATATTTTTGCTAATATGCAACATGTTCATCCTATTTATCTGCTGGCTATCCCTTTTGCTTTTCCCAGACTTTCAGCAGAGGTAACCGACCTGAGTCACGCTGTTCTGTACAAACACAGCGGGGACAGTTCAGGGAAGAAGCTGCAGGGTCAAGTTGCCAGAAGTCTTGGTCAAACAATGAACAGATGGCCAGTTGGTCGTGGCGGCTGAACGGTGGCGCTGAAAAAAGTGACATTTGAACATATCATTAGGCGCATTCACACCGCAGTACTTTTCCCACAAAGGTTCATGAGAACTTAGTTCATGAGAACTCTTTTGTCGCGTTCACACCAAAAAGAGCCGGTACTAAAATTAGTTCATGAGAACCTTTTTACCCCCTAGCAGGGACTTTCGTGCGGCTCTCTTGTGAGAAAAGAGCTATATTTCTGATTGGCTGGGCGGATTGCAAACCACGCCCCGTAAAACTCCCAAAAAGTTTTGTGAAGCCGCCATTTTATTATCCTCGCATTAGCATTATTAGCATTAGCCCAGCGCAGAAACGCAGAGAGACTAACTTATGGCAACACAAAATAAAACATGGGAGCGGTGGAAATGAGGAGGTGTCGGCGTTCTGGCGATTTACTCGGAAGGCTTCAGTAGAAGCTGCTGGGACTCCCAGCAGCTTCTACTGAAGCCAGTCCCCAACTCCGGGGACTTCCGGCCGGGGACTTTGGGCAGAAGTATACGCCGTGAAGTGGTTTGCGGCCTGCCAGTAAACCCAAAGCAGAAGAAGAAGAAGTGACGTCAGCGGCTTCATTTGCCTAATCCTCCCCCAGGGACTTATTCCGGTGTGAACGCGATCTGTACTTAGTTCATGAGAACTAAAGAGTTCTCATGAACTAAGTTCTGATGAAACTTTGTGGGAAAAGTACTGCGGTGTGAATGCGCATATAAGCATCTTGTCTTTCTGGAAATGACATCCCGTTTGCTCTGGACCACGCACACAAATCCCTGTCAACAGCTTGAGTTGCACTGAAAAAACTGCAACGTTGACTTTAATTTAATGTATTATGTCAACCATTTCACATAACTTTATTAGGTAAGTTGAAAGCAACAATATAACGTTTTTAACAACTATTAGGTTTAACTTAATGTTATTGCTTAACCTAATACAGTTGTATGAAATCTGCTGACATAATACATTTAATTAAAGTCAACGGTTCAGTTTTTTCAATGTGGAATTACTTTCTACTTACAAAAATGTGTACAAAGACAACACATACAACATTATTTTGAATTGCAGCCAATGAATAGGTCTTATGGTGGTACTAGCAGTTTCCATAGATTCTCAAAACTACTACCACTACTACTACTAGGAGTTATAAGGAAAATATGTATTTTGCAATTTGGATAAAGTGAGCCGTTAAAGAGTGAAAATGTGTGGCTGCTGTGCAGAGATCAGTCAGTCCAGTTAAGTTTCTCTTATGTATTTTTAGCCCCACTGAGCCTCAGCTGGTTTAATCTCCCATAGCAACCGTTTTCTGGATCCCAGCTGGGCATTAAAATGCAATGAGGTGCTGGTTTTGTATAATGTAATAAGCGAGGCACACTCAGAGCCGCCTCTGTGGTTTTTCGCAACATGTGAAAAGCCATGAACCCTTTGGTTGTATATTAGGAGATGACATGGTGTTCATGGGCCCCTCTGTGTTCAGACAGCATGCAATAATGATTTGTTTATCAAAGCTGCTTTGTACGCCTAATCGGATTTCTGCAGAATTACCTGTGTCCCTAAAACATTAGTTGTTATAGTAACAATGATGGCAGGTGCATGCATGACCGTCCTCAGTCTATCACCCTGCTATGCATTGGCGAAGCGTGACGGGAAAATACAGGCTCATTCAAAGTTGTGTTGAACTGAATAGCTAAGATTGGGAATGTTGGTTTATCAAGAACGGGGTATTTACTGACGTATTAGAACAGTAGTCATAGAACAAAATCTTGAAAAATCTTGAACTAGTAGAACGTAGAACAAAATGTTGAACCAGAGACCAAAGCATTGTCTCCAGGCAACAGCTTTCTCCTCCATTTTGCAATTTTACAATATGAATGAAAGACTCACACGGCTTTCTTTTGTTTCTCCTCAGGTTGGACATCATCAACAAGCTCATGGGTCTTACAGAGGACAACACTAGACCTTCAAGAAGCCTGACTCACAACGACGTCCCTTCTTCAGCCCTGAAACAAGCCCCAAAATGGCTGCCTGGTTTCCTGAGACTCCGACCAGCTTCTGGAGTTCGCACATCCCCACCAAGTCTGGCATGGGCTCGACCCAGGGATGAGTCTCCGAGGTCTTCGAGAGTTCGTCGTCGTGCTCATTCGGGACCGCGGAGTAGTCGCCATTACCCCCAAAACGCCCAGCTGATGAGAGTCGGTTGCGTCCTGGGAACCTGTCAAGTGCAAAACCTCAGCCATCGGCTCTATCAGCTGATTGGTCAGAGCGGCAGAGAAGACTCCTCCCCCATCAACCCCAGGAGCCCCCATAGTTACGGATGAGAAAGTAAACACCCCCAAAAAACACCCACAGCAAGTCTAACACTGAAAAAACTGAACTGTTGACTTTCACATGACTGTATTGGGTTGGTTGAAAGCAATAATATTAAGTTCAAATATTAGGTTCAACTTAATATTATGGCTTTCAACTAACTTAATGACATAATACATTTAATTAAAGTCAACGTTTCAGTTCTTTCAGTGTATCCAGATCTCCATTTATTTATCTTTTAATGTATTATTTGTAGAATTAGTTTTTGATGTAGTCCTTGTTTATTTATCTAAATATGATAGTTATACTCCTATGTTTTGCCTCCCTAGTTTCAGTTTGAATTCAATATCATCACCGCCAATGTGAGTTCTCCCACTAATGCTGCAGACAGCTGTACAAATCTTTCAAAAGGTGGAAACAAGCACCAAAATTGGGCCATTTATTTAAAAAAGCCACAAAATTGCGACATTTTACCCAAAATGGTCGTCATTTCCAGCCGATAAAAACTATATTTTACACCAGAATTTGAACAACTTCACCAATTTCGGTGATTTCAGTATTGAATTATTTGTTTTGGACTATGGGGAAGTCAATTTTAGAAACTTCTACCGGGCTTCTTCATGGCATTTTAAACACTTGAAAATGGCAGCCATCTTGGATTTTTGACGGGCTTTTTTAAAAGAGAAACCCTCAAAGGACTTTATTTGCCAATTTTAGTACTTGTGTCCACTTTTGAAAGATTTCCCTGGTATATTCAATATCCTGCAGCACTAACCAACCAGAGACTGATTGCTTTTTGAAGGATGTTCAAGTCTTTGTTTTCCACCATGGACTAAGTATTAAGGGTGGTCCTCAACACCATCCTTAGGTTCTGCTCCTGCCTGAACTCTGACCCCTCCAACAGTTCATTGAACACTTACAAGCCCCTGATGTGGATTTCAAGCTGCTGGAGCCATGTCAAAACCAATGTATTCCCAAAGACCCCGTAAACAACCCGATGAACAATTTTTTTGTGCGCCTCCCTTTTTGGTCAACGTTAACAACTGAACACGGACATCCCTTAAATATTCCACTATAGCTTTGTGTTTTTCGGGACCACAGTTTACTTTTGAAACAAACCACAGCACTTTGGTTACACCGGAGCATTCGGAGGACTTACAGTCAACGCTGGCAATGAAAATGTGAAAGAAGAGGGGCAGCAGCCTTGAGAAGGAGTCATAGAAAACCCAAAAGGATCAGTTTCAGTGTTGCTCTATAGTAGCCTGTTGGAGGGGCCAAAGATCAAGGCTTTTTCTCTGCAGGAGGCCAGATGTTTGCCTTTTCACGTGATTCATACGTTTTCAAGACTTTGGGTTGAAAGCAGTTTAATATCCCTTTAGGCGGGGGGTCCTCAGCATTGACGTTTACAATAATTCAATGGTTGGCTCACCTAAAACACACTTCTGGTATCCCCTTACTTTCCATGATGTTTTGGGGGATTTAACATGGATTCTTATTATGGAAACTATTTCCAATGCCCTTTTTCTAGTGCTAGACAACATACCTTCATTGTTTTGCGTTAGAAAGTCCAGCAGTAATGGTGCAGAAGAATGTAGAAATGAAGGACAACCGTCCCTCACATTTCCTTATAGACAACACAATTCTGTAATGACGTGCACTCTTATTGTTACATGGGTTTAAAGTAGTCGTGAAATGCCCACTAACGACTGTTTTTGTTATGGCATGAGTCCATAGCGACAATAATGCTAGGTGTAGGTATTCAAAATAGCAAAGCACCGTCAAAAATACATTCCCAGACATTCCCGGCTTTCTATGTTTGTCTGTCTCTGAAATAGTGGACGGGCCACGGACTGAAAATAACTCAAGCTCTCACATTTGACAGGCAAGGAACACAATTATGTTACATATTATTTGCCAACTTCAATTTAAATGTTTTACTTTATGTTGGCCTCATCTTAACTTATACAGAAGGAATACATGAGCTGTTTTATGTGCACTTTTATCTGGATTATCATTTTTACTCTATTTTTGCGTATAACTTGACAAAGTATGGTATTCCTAAGAGGCATTAGTTTGAACTCACCAAATACCTGGCAATACTTGACAAATCGAATGACTTTACATGTGATCTACATCTTATTGTAATAACATAACTTAATCTGTCTTCTCATATTGCTTTGTGTTTTTGGCTTATTTTTTGCTCTTTCCTGGCTCTCCCTTTTCCTTTCCTTTCTCTCTATAATTATGGAGGTCAGAGGTTAAAATCCTTGGTCTTAAATCTAACCTGTTCAAAGGCTTGCTGAAGTCAAACATGCCACTCTCTCTGCTGTAATGGAGCTAATTAATGTCTCATGACGGATGATTAAAAGGCTTTTCAAACGCTAAAAAATCCTGGTGGATCACTTTTTTTATATATCCTCCTCACTTTTTAAATATGATTTCAAACACATTAAGTGCGTATGTGCTATCAGGACACTTATCTCCTGTGTTTGATCTGTGCTCTTTTGTTTTGTTTTTGTGACGTCAAAAGTTGCGTCATGTCCAAGTTGCGTGAGCACGACCGCTAATACCTCCCCGTAAAAAAACACCTACAGCTGTCATGTTGCGAAGGAATGAGTGAATAGACGTTTTGTAAGTTAGTGTAGATTCAGGGTCACAGGAAAGCACTTTAACGCAACCAGCTGTCACTATAGTTTCTCACAACTTAATGTTACTTGTTTTTAAACGTGTGAACGCTAGGGTTCCTTTATGTAAATGTTGCATTTGAGATGTTTGAAGACGTCAGCGATGACTGTGAACGCTGTGTGCATCAGCCAAACTATTTAAATATGTATTTAAATTATCTTTGTATGTTAATATCTGTATGTCACCAAAGACTATTTATCTCACCTTTTCCACAGTTCCTTCAACGTGACCTTGTGGTAGGAAACAAAGTCTAAACTGTAGTGAAAATGTTACTGTTTGTCAATGTTCTTCACTCTGTACAAAAAATAAAGAATTATACTGTAATGTGAGTATGGAGTATGATTTAAGTGTGTGTGCATTACTAAAACACATAAAGGCATACTTAAATGAATCACAAAGGAAATTACTCTGATAATTTCAACTCTAAAGTGACCTTGACCCAAAAATCCTCATATAAGTCAATCATTACACATCAAAAACCAACATATCTAATAGGGGGCGGCAAAAAAAAGTGAATGAAACATTGAGAAACATGTGATCCTGGCATGAGCAGCCACGTTAGCGTTAAAGGTCGTATGACTGGACAGAGTTAATGAGTGACAGCACGTTTAGTCCACATCAGACGAGCTATTGGGTCATTTCACAAGGTGGAAAATGAGAGACGAGAATAAGGACGAAAGAACAGGAGAGACTGAATAAATTATGTTCATAAAATACGAGTAAAATGTATTTTTATCACATTTTGAGGCAATTTATGCTACGTTTTTTCCTTTAAGGGACCCTATTATCCTATTTGGGGATTTCCCTTTCCTAAAGTATAGGTTTTAGCAGTGGCGGCCGGCCCATGGAGGCGCTAGGGGCGCCCCCCCCCTCTTCCCACATGTTTGATTGTGATTATAAATTCAATTTAAAATATATATTTTTTTTAAAAATCATTTTTATTTTTAATGAACAAGGTAAATATTATATAGTTGGTATCAGTAAAATGTATAATCTAAAATAAAATCTCGGAATATAGTTTGTGTGTTTCATTCCGATGAATCAAGGTTATTTTCATGTAGCCTATGTAATTGTTTTTCCTGCACAGTCTTGTTGTGATGAGAGGGATAAAGGTATTTCATTAAAAAAAACGTGCTCCCTGGAGAATAGCTACAGAATTGATATCACAATTTAATCGGAGCTGATCACAACTTGTCATGAGTGATCCAGTCATCTCGATGAGCGTTCGGGCTGTGAATAAACAACTTGTGTTTTACTTTTAGGCTGTCTGAAGGTATGGACAGCTATCAAAGCTACTATACATCACATTAAGAACGATGTACAAATGAAAGTCGGACACAAATATATAATTTAAATGATTTATTCAAGTTTGCTATGTTTTGAACAGGCATCCACACAGTCACCTACTTTGTAATGTTCGATACCTCCCTGTAAGCGTCACGATATCCACCTCTCACTCACAACCTCACATACGAGTACTGAATGTGCATCAAAGTGATCTTAGGAAGGCAGATATAGCAAAAGATTAACGTAAACGACAAACGAGGCGATCGACATGTTTATTTCCTGGTAAGTCAACAATGGGTCCTCAATGTACACGCCCCGGATTCCTATGACGAAAATAATAGAATGTCGCCAGTTGTCATGACTCAACTTATACTGCAACACCGGCCGTCTTTCCTGCAACGGCAGTTTTTCTGTATTTCCTTTCTCCTGTAATATGACTTGATCGCTTTAAACTCCGCACACTGAGCTCTGATTGGTCAGCAGGCAGTGCTTTCACTGAGTTGAGCTCTTAGCCTGCAACCTAACCTGGTCCCGACCAGGGGGGTATACTACGAATCTAGTTCAACCTATCCTGGATATGTTTTGAGTTATCCGGTTGACTTAATCCAAAACAAAGCCGCTCTCGCTAAACTGTCCTACAACGCTGGCTATCAACTCGTTCGCTCAAGCCAGCCGTGTCCTATCTAGTTAGGCGTTCACATAAAAGGGGTGGTATCTGGAGCATTCGACCAATCACAAACATGGAGAAGCGTACTGACAGCGCAGCGTCATACTTCCTGAATGAAAAGTCAACTATAATATTAGACGTATGAAGAAGTTAAACTTTAAACATCCATGACTTAAACACTTTATCCAGGATAAAAGCCACAGAGCTGCACCTGTAAGGTGAATACAGCTGGTAACAGAACAAGTGTTTGAATGCGTACATTAACAGGTTTATGATATCACTGCCCCGTCTAAGACACGATCTGACTTTTATTACATTTGACTCGAGTGTTTCCTCAACTTAATGTGTTGCTTAAAATAATACTTCTGCATACAGTCTGTGACACTGTGAGTGTTGCACGGCCAGATACGGCTCGGCTGACTCAGATAAGGAAATATATGATACATTATGATGCATGTGATATGATGTGATATGAATGATAATGGGACACATCGACGTCTGCACTCACAGTGCCGCGAACAGGCTACGTAATGTTACTTCTTTGATCTGGTTACTTATGTTGTGGCAGATATTTAATTAAGCTTTCTTAACATAATAGTATAATGATAGTTATAATAGTCCGATTGCTCTGAACATGGGAGGTGATATTCTATTCATTTTCACGTTCACACAGTCGGTGATTTTGGCCGGCCGTCTTTCCTGCAACCGCAGTTTAAACTGTATTTCCTCCGCACACTGAGCTCTGATTGGTCAGCAGGCGTGGTGCTTTCGCTGAGTTGATCTCTTATCCTGGAACATATCCTGCTTCGGAGCATTGACTAGGTTCCAGGATAAGTCACCATGGAGATCTAGCCCGCTAAAAAGTGAACCAGCTTCGTAGTACCGGAAATCCCAGAAGTTATCTTGCTAAACGAAAATCCTGCTTCGTAGTATACCCCCCCAGGTTAGCCGCTAAGCATAAGTTACCATGGAGATCTAGCCTGCTAAAAAGAGAACCAGCTTCTTAGGACCGGAAAGCCGGAGTTTCCCCTGAATTTAGCCGGCTAAGCGAAAATCCTGCTTCGTAGTATACCCCCCAGGTGTTCTGCAGTTTGTGTGGGCCTACTGTAATGTTGCACAGTTTACTGTAGAAACTATGTCCAGGACAAGGTATTTGGAAGTTTTGGAAGATTCATAGCTAACCACACTGAAGATTATGGAGGTATTGATCAGTCTTCTCATATCTCTAACATCACCAGAAGTCATAATTTAAGGGGTCATTTCTCAAAATGTTCCCCGTGTGGTTTATTTACCATTACAATAGCCCCACCTAAAATAATTTCCACCAGCCGCCACTGGGTTTTAGTGCATGTCAATGGTGCCTGTGTTCCCTCCAGAGGAAGTTTCTCTCTAAGGCCCCTTTAACATATGTGTATCACACACTAACAAATGTACTTTAATCTATAACTCTTTTCTTTTTTGCTGATCTATTTCATCAAATGTAGGATTTTAGAAGTCGTAATTCAGCCTGAAATACAGACTTTTAACTGAAAGATCTTGCTTACAATTTCAGGGTCTTTTGAGGTCTGAAGGTCCAAATCAAAGGTTATGTTTTTGTTACATTATGTGTTATTTGATCAGGTTAATGTTTGCCTCACATTGGGTACATATGCACTGACGTAATTCCGGGTACAGCTTAATGCTTCACGTCTGAATCCAGTCTTTGCCAGAAGCAGTTTTCCGACACAATTTGACCTGAGAAGACCGTGGCTGACTACAGCTAATAGATCTATATTGGACATTATCTAGAGATGTCCACAACCCATGATGGTCAAAGCAGGCTTGTTGAAGGTGCTGTACTGACACTGTTTAATTGGAATAGCTTTACAGTTTTAATAGCATGGCTAATGTGGGAGAACACAGAGCGACCCATTGAACCTCTTGGCTTTTCATCCCTATGTAAATAACACATATCGAGATGTCCAATAGAATAAATGATGCTTCCTGCCTGTCTTCCAGCATACACTGTGTAACTGTGTTAGAGAACAAGCTGTCCTTACATCTACGATTTAGTTGTAGTCTATTTCTAGCAAAGGGAAATGACCAACATCCTCCAATGGTAAAACATTAAATATTGTGACGGTCAAAAGTCTTCACTAAATTATTAAAGTGTTGGTGAGTGGAGATAGGTAACCTATTGCAGTGATTCGTAGCTTTGTGGAAACTCACAGATGCGTTAATGTTGCCTCATGGACAAAAGAGGAATACCCAAACACAGTTAGGGTCAGTATGGATTCGAGGAAGTGCGGTTGTTGGTTAGATTCCAGCAAATGCAGTCAACATGTCGATGTGTCCCTGGGCAAGATACTGACCCCTGAGTTGCTCCAGATGGCCAATGGTGTGTGTGTGTGTGTGTGTGTGTGTGTGTGTGTGTGTGTGTGTGTGTGTGTGTGTGTGTGTGTGTGTGTGTGTGTGTGTGTGTGTGTGTGTTGTGTTGTGTGTGTGTGTGTTGTGTGTGTTGTGAGAGATTCCTTGAGCAAGTGGCTCTGCATGAATGAGGTGTGAAAGGGTGGATGATGACATGTAGTATGTAAAGGGCTTTGAGGGGTCGTACAGACTGGATAAAGCGCTGTATAAGTACGGTCCATTTCCCATTTACACACAACAGATCTGCAAGGACTAAAAACTGAGGAAAGTGGAAGAATAGAAAGTTGATCCAACCCTTGAGGATATTTCTAAAGCTGGATAATGCAAGTCTTTATTTTCTCTGAAATGCTCCTGGAAATGTTGCAGCAGATGTACAGACACAATCCATCCAACTCATGGTCTGCTGTCGCCAAATTGACCGGATGTGTGCTCTACTAATTCTAACTCCAAGTGACTTTTTGTCATTTGCTTAAGGCTGGCAGTGAGTTAATGCTGGAAACAGGGTTGATATACTGTAAGTGGAATATTCCGGCCATACAAGGAAAAACAATTAGCTCGTGAAGCACTTCAGAATTTCGTGTTGATGTTCTGTGACTTCAGGTTATGGAAACCAGACGATATCAATCAGATTTTATGATTTTTTTTCCATTGGGTCATGGCGAAAATGTCATTTAGGTCAATGAATAGATGGAAGTAATAACAACCACAGTTGACCAGATCACACACTGTTCATCCATATGAGCTTGGTAAACTGACAGAAGGCAGACACAGTCACCACCTCACAAATATGTCTGTAAAAACCTCCAGATCCACATCAGTGTCATAACATTTACATACCAACAAGGCCAACTAACGCTGGTATATCTCAGGTATTCACAACTCACATTGTAGGAATGCAGCTGATACTCATATTCTGCAGACTGCTTATAAACTACACCAATCCTGGCCTATTACTATGTGGAAATGGAC